CAACAACCTCATTAAGAGGATCAATAAGTTGCTTCTTCTTCTTCTTAATTTTTTTTGCCACCTCATGAGCTTTACGTTTCTTCGAGGCTGGTGAAACTGGATGTGGAACATTACGAATTCGCACACCCCTTCGATTAAGCTGGGGTTTGCGAATTTTCCTTATCTTCGAAACTAAATCTTCTTTTGGTGAAGACATTGGCTCATCAGAAGCATCTTCTATTGTCGGTGGTTCAGGAGAATGTCGAGGTCTATGAGCAGGATTATTAGTATGTTTCAGAATACCCCTCTTCGAAGGAACGACCTCCTTTTGAACTTCTTTTGCAATAGGTTCTTTAACCGGTTTTGTTACCTCCTTCTCGATTTGCACATGAACTGAATTAGGTTGCTCTGGCTTCTTTGGTTTCTTGGAAACTTTAACAACCTTCGAGGTGCCTTCTGTCCATTTTTGCATCAAAACTCCTACTTGAACATCAGGGTTGATCGTTGACAAATAATTAACTAGAACTGGATGAGTAGGATCGACTTTTCTTAACATGGCATCTGGAATTCGACCCACATTAGGAAATAAAGCAGGATCATCAGTAACAATCTTAGGGGCCTGATAGATTGAGAATTTTGCCTTTGCATCTTCGGATGGTACCAAAATACCCTCTTTCGCATAAACATCCCTCAAAATCAAGCTCCAATGCATTGTACACGATACTCTATTCGTGATACTGGTAGGATTAATGCCAGTACCGAATTCTTCCCACAACTGAGTTGTGTAGTCAACATTCAGATCATAATACAGTCCTGCAATCATAGCTTATACTTCCAGTTTTTCTTTGTCAAGCCCTGAACTTCTACCAGTCAGACATCGAAGGAAAAACCCAAATAAGAAATTCCAAACACAGGGTAAAGCAGTTTTGCAAAAATGATTGAGTCCTGTGAGTGGTGGTTGATGACCCATTTCATTGAGCATAGACACAACCTGTTCAAATCAAACTTCATAAAACGGACCTGTAACTGGAAGCTTCATAATCAGTGCAAATTGCTTCTTAGTAAGCTTGTAGTTCTTGTCATTCATCAGTTGAAACGTCACCACTTTGGTTGTCTTGTTGAACACATCAGATGAACCATCTAAGGATAACCAAGTCATGGGTACTGAGAATGAAGAAGACATAACCGTTAAGAGAACAAAGTGATTGAGAGAAACAATCAACATCTGTAATTGTTCTGGGTACTTCGAAACATCAAGTTGAACACGAAATATTGAGCTTTGAATCTTCATTAAAGTCTGAGAAGTTGTGTCTTCTGTAGTGGTGTTTGATGCATCAACGTGACTAGTTGGTGCCGCCATTGTTAGGGTTTTGGAGAATTTTGTGAATAGATAAATATCAGGAAAGGAGATTTAGGGAAAATTAGACCAGACTGCGTAAAGTATTTAATTTAATCCACCAAATTCCTTTTATACTCAACGTACAATTTGAATTTGAATCGGCCACCAATAAAATTCTGCTACGTGTTGTCTTGGATAGTGGGCCAGTTTCTGGAAAAGTCGCCACGTCTGAAAAGTGATGATCAGTTCGGGGATCTGTCAGCCAACAACCAGGGATCGTATGTATGATTCGGCAGTGCGAGGTGAGTCTCCTCACTATGATTAGCGGGTCGAAGGCACCAATGTCGGCCCATGGTTTGTTATGATTACTATGCTTGTTGTCTGTGTGACTCTTCCATGTGCCATGTGTTTTATGTTTACCGAGCGGGGCTCGATGCTGAGTGGGGCCCGATTCCAGGCGGGGCTTGATGAGTATATTGTATGTTAGTTATGGGTATGTGTTTTTATGTTACCGAGTACGACCCGATGACGGGGCGGGGCCCAATGTATGTCTGTATGCTTTCTAAAGACATAGATACGAATAACATATAAAATAAAAACAAATGTCGAAAATCAAACGTTGGTTGCCTCAATTAGCTTAAAGAAACTATGGTACTATATGGCATTAACAGTATAGATGGTATGAACCATTGTAAGAGAAAAGAGGACGATTGCAAAAACTAGAGCAATCATACTACATGGACTACTAAATTATGTACGCTTCAATGATGCAATGTTTTTAGGCTTGTAACTATTGTAGTGCCTATCCATTTCACGCTAGTCATCAAAGTAATAGAACCTTCTAAAGGGAAGTTCTTTACAAATTTTGTTGATCATATATGCAGCGTTTTCGTTTGAACCTAAGTGGTTGACAATGACTTTTGATTCTATCAACTTAGCAACGTCTTCTTCAGTATCGACTAGCATATCCATGGCAATGACATATGATGTCACATACCCACATGTTTTATAAGAGGAAGAGGGCTGCTCATAAGCAATAAGGTTCCTTAAAATTGACACTGTAAATTTGTAAATACATAATACTGGAATTTTTAGAGTAGGCTTACTCCAACACCATGAAAAGTAACCAAACGTAGATAATTGAAAGTCCATGGCCATTATCCATCTTGCATTTGTATAAGGCTTGGACATCACCCCTGCCCTACCCAATCCTACAGTCGAGTGTATTGCTACACTTGGTAATCCTTGTAATGGAGAATATTCCTTTGATGGCCGATAACATTTTTCAAGAAAGCCAAGAATATGATCATCGGGTTCTATAGGGTAGAACGACAGTCAACCTTAGACCGTCTGACGTATTGGTTTTTGGATGGGTTGGATGGAAAAACGTTAGTGTGGACCTTACATAGGTATCCCCTCTCGTGGGCTTGAGGGTTGGGGGTTTCAAGGCGGGAAGTTTTTTAATAGAGTACAACGGATGATTCATAACAATGTTATATCTCCTAGATCTATGAATTTAGTCTTGTAAAGAATTGATTTTATCATACAAATAAATTTAGCGGCGCGGCTTGTTATACATTTGTGTTCTCCTTCATTGTATTGTTATCACTAATTAATAATGAATGAAAAGACCGTATTTTAAATTTTATATTATAAAAGGTAGGGTCCGCTTGCCTTAAGAATTCTTTTCACTATGTTTTTGTAATTATTTTTAAACGTACTGTATATCCGTAATTATTTTTTCAAAATACAACGTTTATGTTTTTTCAAAATACAAAGTTTATGTAAAAAACTCGTGTAATAAGTAGTCCGCCATTGCCTTTTTCTAGTAGCAACCAAAGAGCAGGAATATACAAAGTAAGCAATTAGGCTTGGGCCTGACTGGATCACCTATGGGCGGAGAAAATCCCCTTTGGCATGGGTGGACAAAGTCAACTTGGGGGTGACCAATGAGAGCTCACCAGCTTGGGGCTGTGCATTTGAATCGAAGGGGTTGTCCAAAACCATTTCATATACGTTGTAGAATTGTCACTCATGTTTCTTATATGTTCGTCGGTAACCACCGGTACTTGTAAACATTTAATACCAATTTTTTGGTTCCATGAAAAACTAACAAACCCTACAAAAATCTCAAAAAAAAAAAAAAAAAAAAAAGATTTCTCAGTTGCTGCTAAACAAGGAATTACCAACTATTGATTATTGTACTACAAAATCTATGTTGCTTAGAAAATCTCCAACTCACTCCCATTCTCTATTTTTCCCCTATTTCTTCCTCCATTCTTCTCCAACCCTTCCCCATTTATTCCCCCATTTTGGGATATGAATAGTATTACATCAAATATGATGTTATACTATTCATTTCTTCCAAAATGGGGGTGAACTTTGCGTTGTCGGTTTAGTCCCTCTGTTATATATTTATACATTTTTAGTTCATTTTACCAACTAATTATAATTTAAATATAATATTTAATACTTATAATATTTTGTTATATATTAAATTATATTAATTAATTATAAATATAAATTTTGTTTTTTGTTCATCAAATTCATAT